AATCATCAATAAAACATTATTAATAAGGCATTTTACTTTTTGATATGAAGTCTTTAAAATCTGGTGTGTATTTTATACTTAGAACACATCTTGATCTGTGCTCGTCAAATCTGGAGCACTTGGTAGCCACCTGTGGCTGGTGGCTACTGTCCCACACAACCCAGCTTTAGACCATTCCTGATGCTTCTGTCCCAGAGACTTTTTAAGGACTAGGAAGAACATGTCATATTCTGCAGCTAATCTAGATGTTATCACTAATTCTCTTAAAAACAATGCCAGTTAAGAGTTTGTTCCATTTCTCAGAATCCCGGGGACACTTTGTTCCTCTATAATACTAGATGTGGCAGTTACAAACGTCCTGCCAGGGGCCACTGAGAGACTGGGTCAGAGGGGAGAGACACAGTTATCTTCAGGCAGCTTGGAACTAGAACACAATCTCACATCATAGAGAAGCTTCTTACACAGACTGGCAGACTGTGGGATGGGGAGGACTCTGCTGTGTTTTATCATGAAAAGAAAGAAATTTGGCCAATGGAGAATAATATCCACTCACTTAAAGTGACGGACAAAGCAGTAAAACAAGAGAGTCTAAGGGGAAGAAGGCAAGTGTTCCTTTTCTCGTACTGGCCTGTTTTCCTAAAAGACAGGATGTCATACAGTATCCTACGCCTCCAGGGAACCTAATAAGGAAGGGCCATACCTCAGTCATTCCATTCTAGTGAAAAATCCATCTTATTTTTTAGAAACTCAGGAGAAGGAGTCCAGAACCCTCCCTAGGGACAGCTTCCAGTAGTCCACCTATTGACTCTGTCTGCAAGTTCTTCTCAAAATCTTCCTTAAATTATTTTTAGTACAGCTCAAGCACATCACCCTTTGTTTGTTTCCAAAATGCTCCTCCAAATACACATTCATATAAAAAATTAAGAAAAACATTTTAAAGGAGCATCGATAGGAAGACAAGACTTGAGAATTTGAGTTTAACACTAAACAAACCCGGCACCTCTTATTCTGGCTATAAGACTCAGGAAGAGGTCAACTCAGAGACATGGATGACACTGGCCTCTTGCATTTTGATGAAGGCTTTTTGAGTAAATTTTGAACTGGTGAAATAATTTCAGATGACAGAGCAAAAGACACTGCCTGCAAACTGAGCTAAACGGCCACCTGGCTGTGTGATCTGCCACCCACCCAGGGCCTGCTCCTCAACAGTCACCCCTTCCTTTCAGCTGCTCTTAATGGAATTTAAGGACATAAGAAGTTACATGGCAAAGACACAGGTGTCAGGAAATTGCCTGTGAATTAAGGATTAATCCCTAGTATGTGCACTGTTGACCTTCTGCCCTCCCCCATTATAGGCAATGTGCAATTTGCTGGGGACAATCCGGGCTTTGGAAGCACAGATTTCACATAGTAATCTCAAAATGCTGTCGAGAATAAACATTAAATACTAAATTACTGCTTTTCTCTGTAACCCAGAGAAAGGAAATTGTTATGCTCAGAGTGGTCAGGATTACACCACGGCATGACATTATCTGTGAGGCTGGCTGGTTCCCAGAATCCTCCGGAAGGCAAGCAACTTTTGACAGTGGCCAGCCAGGGAGTGAGCTGCTGATGCCATGGTATTTGCGCTGGAGGCAGGCTCCTGCTTCTGAGGAGCTTCATGCAGGAGTGAATGAGTTTCCTTGCCTGCTAGCTAGGAGCTACAAACTAGACCTGTCACCTCTGCCATTCCTACAAATGTCTTTCAGTTGGTCACCTTGTATAAATGTAGTCACCTTGTTGGAAACTCTGCTTCTCTGCGGGAGACAGACCTCCAAACCTGCCTCTCTACCTTACAAAGCTTGGTAGGAAAATTAAGGTCCCTTTTCCAACTCTCCCCACCCCTACCAGGCCAAAAATTCTCAAAAGGCACCGCTTAGTCCAAGGCTTACAACAAAAATCCTGAAATCATTCTTAACAACATTTTCAACATTTAATATATTTTGTCGACTAAAGTAGAAATGACTCTGAAAGTTATCACCCTACAAACATAAAATACCAAAATGTTCTGTGCTATTACAAACCCCAAAAATGGTCCAAGTAAATTTTAGAATAGGGACTGGCCTAAGATTCTGCCTTATATTGCTGGACAACAGAACTTTATAGAGGAGAAATAAAATTCATGTATTTTAGTTAGTTTTTGTCCATTAGTTTTAACCTTATGTCTCCAAGTTTTGCTAAAGCCCACTCTACAGTGGAACCTAGAATCTTTCCATAAACACACACACACACACACACACACACTTTTTAAAAAAAAAAAACTATTTCTTCCTCCCTCCATCCCTCTCTCTCTTTCTTTCTTTTACAGACAGGGTCTTGTGGAGTTGGTGAGGGCTTCGCTAAGTTGCTAAGGCAGGCTTTGATCTTTCGATCCTCCTGCCTCAGCCTCCCAAACCACTGGGACTACAGGTGTGTGCCACTGCACCTAGCTACAGATAATGTTTCATGTGTGCTAAACAAGTCCTCTGCCAAGCAGTTGGCACTATGGCAAGAGTTCCTTAAAGGAGGCAGTAGGGAGGCACCTGAAGGTTCACAGGTTCTTTCATTCAATCAGTGTTTATTTAGTGACATCAGGTGACAGGCATTGGCCTGGGTACTGGGGACTCAAGATGCAGACCCAACCCTCAAATTGCTGGAGGCTCTGGGAAATGGGAAAAAGTCCACAAGCAATGGTGACAAGGCTTGGTCCCCTTGGGGTAAAAAAAAAGAAAAAACCACACAGGGCAGCAGTAGCTAAAACCCAGATGCAGGGAGGGAGGTGGGAGGCTTAGGAAAAGCCTTTGGGGTGGGTGGGGGAGTGTCCTGAATGGAAACTAGTAAGGCTGGCGGGGGCGGGGGGGGGGGGGGGGGAAGCATTCTAGGAAAACGGAATAACTTGCAAAGAGCATTCCATCCAGGGGCAGCAGGAGCCCGGGTTCCTCTTGCTTGACCTAGTTCAACATCTTCTTGATTTTGCAGGGTTGAGGATGACTCTTCCCAAATGTGCCCATCAGTAACTAAACATGTTTTCTGTGACTCAAGACCACCCTGGCTGCCCCATTCAGATTTTCCCAGGGCCATGGCACAGTAACTGGACTGCCACTCGAGGTCTCATTTCCTGCCCCAGAATATGGCCCCCTTCTAAGGCCCCAAGCATGGATTTAGGAAAAGCTATAAAACACACGAGAGAGCACTCTTGACAGTGGCCAGCCAGGGAATGACATTATCTGCAAGGCTGATAATGTCACCTATAAACTCTTCATCTAATTCCTAACAATACAAAGCATCTGATGTGGGTCATAGAGAGATTCTGCTGATTAAAAAGGTCTTACTCAACTTATATTGCTGCATTCATTCCAATCCAAACACAAGTCTGACTTTTAACAAGACTGGAGGCCATAGAATCTAACCTAATAAGGACATGATCTAAGGTATGGGATAACTCTATGCACAGGAATAAGTTCATCACAGCATTTACCTGCAATAGTGGAAAAATAATTCTTAAAAAAATACTTAAAAGTGCCCAAATGGGTGAATGGTTAGATAATAATATTATATCCATTTCTGGAATTTTTGCAACTTTTAACAAAGATGACAATTTATAATGTACTGGGAAATGTTAGCAAAGGACAATATTAAGTGGAAAGAGAAAATATATAGAATCATACAACTGTTATGCTTACAACCATGCAAAAAATATAAATATGAAAAATGCTGGAAAGACATGCACCAAAATGAGAACAGTATTTAAATTAGTGTGATGTGATTATGAGTCTTTCCCTAGTTTGTCTATTTCCTTTACTGCATTTATAATACCTTTAGAATCAACTTTTTAAAAAAATATTTATTTTTTTAGTTGCAGTTGGACACAATACCTTTTTTTTATGTATTTATTTTTATGTGGTGCTGAGGATCAGACCCAGGGCTTTGCATGTGCTAAGTGAGTGCTCTACTGCTGAGCCACAACCCCAGCCCTAGAATCCACTCTTAAAAGTTTGTAATCTCAAAGTACCAACTCTTAAAGCTTGCAGTCTGAACATTTTTAAATCCAAGCAGCACGAACAAGACACCCGAGACTGCACGTGGATCTCCCCTCTGCTGCACTATTTCTGAGAACGAGCCAGTGGGCAACATTCCAGCCCTCTGATGAACTGTAGCATCTTTATGACAAAATGTCCTGGGGGACAGGACGCAACCCCCTCAGAACCTGAGACAGACATTTGAGAACATCAGCCAAGGGGGGTTATAAAAGTTGAAGATGAACAATGGATTTTAAAGCTCTTTAAATCAGATTCAGAAACATCACCATTCTTTCGACTCTGGGAAAAACAATGCTCTTTTCAAAAACAAGGTGAACAAGACCAGGGTCTGTGATGACTAATGAATTCTCTGACTTTTCTGACCCCAATGTGTTCTCAGTTTGGGGAGAAATGGCTGGTTTCCTGTGTCTCAGTTTCTCCAGATGTTCACCAGTGACGGTGACGTCCACCCAGGGGATGGGGGGGAAGGAAGGGGACCACTTAGCCCTTGGAGGGAGGACAGAGCACAGAGACTGTTTCTCTGTCTTCACAACTATGAGAGCTCAACTTGAAAAGAATGAACTGTTTTCTATCCCCTCTAAGCAAGGGAGACTAAATCAGTTTTAGTTACAGCAAGAGGAGTTATTTAGGTTCCATTACAGTTAACTCCTTCTGAGAAGAGAGAATAGCTAATGGCAGTTGTGGAATTTCCTCTTCTAGAGATTGGAACAATAGGTTAGATATACATCTGGCCTTGAACGCCCAAGGCACAGCATCCACAGAAACAGACTAAACAAAAATAGCACACATACAAAACTTGTGGTGTGTCCCTGCCATTCTCCTACTGATTCTAATAGAGATTTAAAACCAGTTGGCATCGTCCCCCTCCATCCCCTGCTGAAGCAACCTCTGGATCTCATTAAATTCAGAAGAAACATTGAAGGTTGACCAGAAAAGATTTACCTGAACTAGGAGTTCCAGCTTCCTGTCATCAAGAAGATGGACTTGACATCGACGGCCCTCCGTCATCTATAAGGGAAAAGAAACAGTGGTCACGGAGAGTCTAGAAATCACACAAAGGGCCAGAGGGTCCCAAGCTGGACTGATTGCTTCATTCGTTTGTTCATGCATTTGAAAATCTTTATTGAGCACTTCCTATGAACAGGGTGCTGTTCTGGGAGCTGGGTGTGCAGTGGCATACAAGGAAAGGTCTCTGACCTTGTGGAACTTACATTCTCACAGAGAAAACATGAAATAAATCAGCAAATTCATACAGAACATACACCAAGTGGGGTGTTAGTCATTCTTCATTTCTTCTTCTGTTCAATAACCATATTGCCATAAGTGAGGTCATCTCCAGGAAGCAGATGGCCACCCAATGGCAACTGAGTTTGATTTCTGAGTTAGCTAAGCATCTCCTCTCCTCATGTATGACCTGAGTCCCTGCAGTGCTGTCATCAATAACAGGACAGCCCTGGAGATAATGTCCATGGAGAACCCTGACTTGGGTCCCTTATGCCTTTCAGGACTGCTGTCTCTTAGCAGTCACCAGAAAGGTAGGCACTGAGACCAGTACCAGGAGACCCAAGGCTAGGCATGGCTCTGATGGTTCCAGGCTGCAGGATTCTGTTCATCTCTGCACCCCAGGCTCATACACAGAAACAAATGGGCTGGGCCTGTGACACACTGGTGAAGGTTTCAACTAGCTTTCTAAAAGGATGGAGCCCTGATCTGTAGCATTTTCTGGAGCCCTGGCAGCACCCTCAAAAACAAAAACAAAAAAGCAATCCTCTGAAGAGCAAGGCCCCTCACATGTCAGGTGGCCATGGCTCTACCCATAAACTGACTTGCTACACAACAAGTACCTTCATTACATCTGATGTCAGCTTACTGTTATGACAATGCTGACAGTTCTCCAACATCAGATAAATAATCTCGAGAGTGCTGATAATGGCAAAGTGTAGTAAAATAATCCGGACATCATGCCCTTTGAATATGACCTTGGCTTTTAAAATAATGCATTTAATTATGAATTTATACAATTTAATTTTAATAATGGCTACGTTTGACAACTGGCACCCTGATGTCATTCCTGAAAATGTAGCAATTAGCTCCCACAAAGTGGTGTGAGTTGTTCCAACACCACTGTGTAGGTCAGATGACCCATAAGGTTCCTTCCTGCCCTTCCTGCCCAGTATTTCACATGACTCAACAGTGCTCTTGAACGACACCTTTCCCCCAGTGACCAGTCACCTTAAGCAAATCGAAAGAAAGGATGCACATAAGCAGATCCTGGCACTCTCCCATTACATGGCCACGAGTCCTCACGAGCACTCTCTCCAGAGAAGGTGGGAAAAGCGTTTTATTCAACAGGACTAGTTCTCTGACCATGAGCATGTCCGAAGCTCTCCTAGAACCCTAGGAGAAAATCCCCTTATTCCTTCCTCAAAGCAGTCAGCCCACCATGCTCCCTTCAAGTCTGAGTTCCCCAGTTTTAGGATCTTGATCAAAATGGATGGAACTGGAGACTATCCTGCTAAGTGAAATAAGCCAATCCCCCCCAAACCAAAGGCCGAATGTTCTCTATGATATGCGGATGCTAACACACTCTAAAGGAAAAGGAAAGCAGAAGTTCATTGGATAGACTAAGGGGAATGAAGGGAAGGGGAGGGGATGGGAATAGGAAAGACAGTAGAATGGATTTGCCATAACTTTCCAATGTTTGTATGTGAATACTCGACCAGTGAAACTCCACATCATGTACAACACAAGAATGGAAAGATATACTCCATATATGTACAACTTGTCAAAGTACATTCTACTGTCATATATTTCTAAAAAGAACATATAAAAATAAAAAATAAAATAAAGAATAAAAAGAACAAAACAGCATTGTCTGCCTGGATGAGCCTAACCTCACATGCTTCTTGATTTTAGGCTATAACAACTCAGCAGTAAAGCTTCACATATTCACAGGCACTCTAACAAACAGACTTAAATGGGCTAAAAATGAGGTGAAACTTCAGCCCAAAGGCTCACCAGTTTGCACAAACAAGCCAGAACACACAGATATGGACATGAGATGGGTTCTATGCAAAGTTCTTTGTACACAAGGTTGGGTATTAATTGCTTCAGTAGAAAAACAGGTTCAAAGTTGTATTAGAATTCATCAACCTTGCACATAGTAGGCGTCCTGAGTGACTTAATTTGAGAAAAAAAAAAAGTATTACTTCTTTTCAATCAATCCACTACCAAGTCCAATGAAAGTCATTACAATTTTAAATTAAACCAAAATCTGTGCTGCAATACCAATATGTACAAATGATTCATTTATTAAAAAAAAAAAAAAGACCAAAGTGAAAAAAGCTGATTTCAAATTTCAGTTGGGCAATTAATAGCAACTGCGCAGCTACTCTGGATAAAATTCTGGAGTCACAGAAATTCAGCTCTCACTGGAAAGTTTAATAGAGTGGAAGTTCTAGGAAGGAAAGTGGTTCCACCGATTTTCGTATTATTTTGAAATTTAAAAAGATATATTTATCACAGGTTTGAGATAATTCCCCAAAGCTCAAGGATTAGAAGAGTTTTATGCAAGAAAGGCTGCTTGTCTTTCACATCTTCCAAACACAAAGTTTTTAGCTTCATTATGTTGTAAAAGTTTGAGTGTATACACTGCTTTCAAATGATTTGTTCAGGTTCTACCAAATTTTATGAAAACAATTTGGTATCTGAAAGACATTACTCCATTAAATAAAGTTTTAATCACAGTAATTAAAAAATATTTCCAAGCATGTAAAGTTCACACTTTTACCCCAAGGGTCTTATTTTCATCTAAAAAAAATAGAATTTTCATTAAGTTAAATAATGTCACTTTATGTGCTGTGTTTGGAGATGTTAGTATCTAGTCCTTGGGATTTTGCAAGCATGCTCCAGATTTTAATGCCTCCCTTGTGGAAAGCAAAATCTACCTGCACGAAACTGGTCCAGAGGGATAAGCTGGAACAGAAACTTGGGTTTGAATCATGATGTTTTTCAAGGTACGACCTTCTTTTGACAGTACGGCTGGGGTTTGTTTCTCAAAGTGCACCGTTTGCTGTTCCATCCTCCAGTAACACTGGAGTTCCCAGTTTTCATCAGAGGTTCAGAAAAGGTTCATCCTCGTGGGTGTGGACGGAGAAAGAGGAGACATCTGTAGCTTTGTTTGATTGCCAGACACAGTGAAAAGTTCTTCTGAATACTAACAATTGTAAAATAATATTGCTTTTTTTTTTCCTTCCCCTTTCATTTTCAGCTGCTCAGGCACAATTGGAGTCCTGGCATCACCCTCAAAGGAAATCCTTTGGAGAACAAGGCTTTGCAGAGATGTCAGCTGGCTACCATCCCAACCATAAATCATATTCTGCAAAAAAGTTCTATACCAAGCACAGGCCTGCCAAGTGCTCTGTGCCTCTAAGGGATATATGGAAAAGCGTAATTTTGAAAGTGAGGTGTCCACCTCGATTTATCCAACTTTGCTGTTAACTTATACTCCTAATCATCAGGACTGCATCAGTAAGGGAAGACACAGATGATTCTAACCTAAGTGGGCATAGAAGAACATGAAACAATGTGAGTGCTATAAAGCAGCCAATAAAATTGTCATGCAAATGGATGGGGATTAGAAGGCAAAATCAAAATAGTTGATGTACTAGGGTAGAGACTCCTGGGTGGCTCCTCTTCACCCCCCACTCCCACCCAAATATTATTTCTCAACTTGTTCCTTTTCTCCCCGTCCCCACCCCAAGTTAAAAGAGCCCTGAAAAAGAAACTTTATCTAGAAAGATGAATGAGATTGTTTGAAGTCAGGCATAGGAAATGGAGCCTGACAAGATTCTTACTCAGCCAATTCACTTAGATGGCTTCTATTTTTAACATGTAAAATCAAGTTTATGAATTTAAAAATGAGAATTAAAGTTGTCACCCAATCCAAATACTCAAGACTGAATGTCTGACACATCCTCTGTCTGTAGAGAATTAATAGGTAGCCAACTGTGACTGGAAGTGATTCCTGGAGTACAAAAGCTGGGAAGGGGGGTTCATAAATACCCATGTCTGAGGGTGTCTGTCCATGTCAGCCTGGTACAATCCCAACGGTGAAGGGACTATTGCTCAGATGTGACAGGGGAGTCTCCTCTTTGGGGCATGACTTAAAAAAAAAATTGACAAATAACTAGAGAAAATAGCAAATAAATAAATAGCAATGACAACCCCCCTAATGGTGACTTCAGAATACTCTGTAGGGAAAGGTGCAGGGTGCCCAGTTCAGTGTACGGATTTGCTTTTTCTAGTTGAGGTTCAGATTTGCAACAGCCACAGCACAGCAACCTTGAAAGCATTCTGCCCACATCTCGCAGGGATATGGAAGGCAATGGAATTCAATGTTTGGCCAGCTTTTTCTTAAAGACACTATAAACATTCTGAGTGAGAAAAGCTCAGATATGTTTTAATAAGAATGTTTTCTCTTCTAATATAAAGCCAAGTCCATCCCATTTTCATATGCTTCTTATTATCACTTTTTTCTCCATACCACATACTTTTTCTCTGTCTTAAGGTTTAGTGACTGCTTAGATGTCCTCTCTTCCTCCTTTCTTGCTCCTCACCAAACAATTTACATACCATGGTATACATATATGCAGGAAGAGCTCTGAAGAAATAATCTCAGTTTTGCTGTTAATAGTATTTTTGTAGAAATGTAATGCAATTGTACAAATGGTTACACATCCATTTGAAGGTATCAGATTCTGAACTAAAAAAAAAAGAAGTATGGTTTAAAATAAAAACTAAGCCAGGCAGAGTGCAGCGTGCCTGCAATCTCAGCTACTTGGGAGGCTGAGGCAGGAGGATCTCAAGTTCAAGTCCACCCTGGGCAATTTGGCAAGATTCTGTCTCAAAACAGACAAGCAAATACATAAAATGAGCTAAGGATATAGCTCAGTGGTAAAGTGGTAGCCTAGCATGTGTGAGGACCTGGGTTCCATCCCCAGTACAGC